GTAGTTGTTGATCTACTGAGATTTTCGACCTTTATACTTAAGAGTCTATCCTCATAATGCTGTAAAAGTAAACTCGCAGCAATCATTGCAACACATAATTCGCACAATGTTATATATCAGCTGGATAAATGGAAAAGTTGGACTTATCAAGTATATTTGCAGAAGATTGTACGGATACAAGCAAAAGACTCAAGACGTTAGTTATAATTATACAATTCAATTCAACAACATGAAATAAATGTTAGGCTATACTACAGATATGGTACAAAGATTGAAAGCTATGGACACATACTTATACTTTTATAGCGCAAACAATTGATAACAAAAACAAACAATAATTTTACGACGACATTTGAAAGTAATATACTACAAAAGAAGTAAAGTAAGCCAGCTATTTATCGCGTTCTCGCAGAATTTTTCTCGGAAAAATAACGAGACACATTTGAAAAGATCAATTGAAAGAAAAAGAGAAAAGAGAAACGCCTTGTCATTCTGCTTCTTCCCATGTCGTGAGAATCACCGCGATTTTCGCGATTTTCTAAAAAATTGGCGTAAAATCGTGATTTATCGTATTTCTTTAAAAGATCGACGATTATATCAGATTTTATCGCGATAATGGGAGAAGAGCTGATTTTCAAAAATCATTGATAAATCATGACAATTATTCATTCACCGTTTTGTTATGAACACACACGGATATATAAACAACGCCGTCCAATGCGTAACAAATAAGTTTTCGAAATATACTTTTCTGATAAATTATTTCTTGGTTATTTTTAATCAAGGAAATGCCAATCCCGATCCATGATCTGGAGAGGACTACACTGAAGCAGTCTGATAAGAATCGGACCAGCTCGAGATCAGACAGATCGCACGATCTAATCGGCTTGGATCTTGAGAACAAAAAAAATTGAATTAAATTCAAGAAAAAATCCAAATATGTGTCTCCAAAAGAACCAATGAAATAGTAGAAAATATCAGTAAACAGACGGTTAAATCTTGCATAAAATCATGATTTATCGTAAAAATCGCTGAAATAATCGGGAATAATCGGCGATTCTATCGCGATTCAGCTCACGATTATCGTTTCGATGAATCGGGATTAATCGGCAATTTTTAGCCGATTCAAAGGACATGGGTTCTTTAAAATCTCCGGCAACAAGTGAAATACGTCAAGAAAAAAAAGGAAAAAAGTAAACTGCTAACTGTAACGACAAACTGGATTGAAGTAGCTTGTGCCACTCTCGGCAATGATGTTTATTTAGCTACTTCACATATCCAGAGTGTGTCTATTTCACATTCAACACACGCTTATATATGATACAGAAACAAAGGGAAAGAGACGACACAGATAGAACACTAGAGAGAGAAAGAGGAAAGAGGAAAGAGGAAGAGCAGCGAGCCGTGACGTATATATCAGCACACTAACTTTCTCCGTTTTTCTTGGAGAAAACATTGATTGAGTTAAGGCACAGCATTGGATGAAGCTGTCACTCAAAAGCAAAGGCACAAAGAAAAGACAAATCAATCTGTTATTGTCAACGTTTTCTTTCCAGCAATTGATTTGAGGCGAATTTCAATTGAAAAAAAATATATGGAACGATTGATATTTCGCCGATACTATTCATCTTTATTTAATAATATACTGGAATATTCATTAGATGTCTGTATCAAGCATATAAAAGAAGGGAAAGAACAATATTTGATACAAAGCGACAACAAGTTAATGAAAAATAGAAACCAGACAAATCAAATAATTTTTCATAAATAATAATTATCCAAATATAATATAACAGAGTATAAAAAAACTTGATGGCAATCCTTAAATAAGATCGGAATCTTGTAATAGTATGCTTAATTTGAGAAAACAAAACAATAATATTTGGTATCAGCTTGACGTTATGAATTCCATGAGGGAGTTTTATTTACGAAATGGTACAGCAACAAGAAGTAAAATCAATATAAGAGCTAGTGGTATAACCAAGGTAGGGCCAGGGGACTCAGCCCTACCACCCGACCTTTCAGCTCTACCACCGGTGTTAGTATCGTCAGCTGAATCATTTTACAAGCCCTACCACCCCACAGACCTCAGTAACCTGAGCCCTACCACCGGATATTTAAGCGTTGCTGAGCCCTACCATCGCCAAAACTCTGGTTACGCCGCTAATAGGAGCATAGATGAATTTAGGAAAAGACACCAAAAACTTTAAAAATATGTATCATTTAACAGTTTTGGTTTTGCTTAGTATAAAAACAATACTCTTATGTTTTGCAGATAATTAAATGTCTTTTGTCAATGACCTAGCTCTGACCAACGTGCAGCTTTCCCTTGTAACTCAATTTTATGCAGGGTTTTCGTTTCCATAATGATCTTATAGAGTCCTGGCTGAAGCCATTTTGATCCATCATGGGCGATGGACAGAAGCGAGTTGGCATAGAGTGAAAAAAATACTTCAATAGATTCGTTCACATTCAGAGGAACCCTTTGAAATCCAAAGAGTCGTTTAATAGGAGGCGTAGGAACTATTATTGATGTTCTCGGTGGTTCCAAAAATATGAGAATAACATCATCACCTGCCATACAACCTGTATTTGTTACATTAACGCGAAAACGAGTGACCAAAACGTGTCTCTTGGCATTAGTGTTTCTCATCAATGTATGTATGCTGTATGAGGAAGTTAACGAGTCGTTATCCCATGCATAAGCAAATGTAGTATAAGAAAGACCAGTTCCGAATTCGTAGACCGCCTAGCCCGTGTAGAACTTGTACGTGCGGCCAGGAATATTGGGTGACGGGTGTGTATGTGGGTGGGTGTGGGTGTGAGTGTGGGTGAGGGTGTGAGTGTGGGTGAGGATGTGGGTGTGGGTGTGGGTGAGGGTGTGGGTGAGGGTGTGGGTGTTGATGTGTGTTGCGAAATATAGTAAATCAAAACACCCACACACCCACACCCACACCCCACACCCACCCACACCCACACCCACCCCACATCCACACTCCCACACCCACACCCTCTTTCTCATGCTTATGGGTCCGATAAAATCATTCTTTAAAATGCAAAAACGTCGTGCAGAAATTAAGTTAAATCCAAGTTATAATCGCATCTATGCGCATGGACATACTTATTGGGAGGGTCCTATTAATGATGGAATAGATCGTGGAAATAAATCATATTTTTGTCCTGTTGGATGGCAAAGATGGTCATTTTATGTTACTGATAACTTTGATCAAAAATTCAAAGGATGGTGCATCGGTTATCATGGGACAAAGTTTGCACACGGTTTATCAATTTTACTGAGTGGATTGAAACCAGCAGAGATTAAGGCACATGGTGCTGGAATATATGCTACTCCATCGATTAATTATGCTGCTCATCCAAGATATTCTGAAGTTAAATTAGTTGAATCATCCACTAGAAAAAAAATTTTCAAAACGAGTAAATACGTACAATTTGTATTAGAATGTCGTGCTCACCCAAGTAATATTATCAAAGTAGATCAACACTAAGTGCTGTTAATACAACTATCGATCTGAATATAAACAATGCTAATATCGAATGGGTTATTTATCCTTATGGTAAATCTATCGTTGACTTTAACGATCCAGACTCTTCGATTGTCTGCACAGGAATATTAACACGTATTACGGATGAACATCCCGGCTTATTACCTGAATCAGAAT